GCAGAAAGATTGGATCTGGCTTTTGACATGATGGTTGGAATGAAAATTTTTCTCTAGAAAGTATCCTTGGAATGAAAATATTCGAAAAATTTGTTCCTCGATTGTCTAGGTAATGGATGGTCTAATAGCCCCATCAAGAAGTGGGCTTTGTCTTGTTCGTCTCTTATATTAAAAGCGATGCCATCAAGCTGAAGACGGTTGACTTCCGCACGAGCAGTGACATCTGTACGTAGGGTTTTTGGTGCTCAACTCCTGGCTCAGACGCACTATGTCACCGGCAAAATTCAAGAATTCCTCACTCGTACGAGGGCCTCGATGCGTCGTCTTGGAGAGTAGGAGGGCGACCGCTCCCGACTCGAACCACGACAGGATTCGAAACATGTTGTGTTGGGGAATAGACGTGTCCCTCTCGAGTCTGCGATGTATTAGGTTGTCTCATAAATAGTGTCGCTTTTTTTCAACCAAAAAATTTTCATCTAAATCCCCATGCTTTTACATCGTGTCATATACCATTCGAAAGAGAATTGTCTGCTCTACAAGATGCTATGTTCCTCTTCCACCTATGTTCCAGGTTTTCAAATTTTAGGCCTGCGAAATGGGAGGTCCAGCCGACAAAAATTGACCAAACCGACAACTAGCTCTAACTTTATTTCCCTTGGGAGAAATCAATCAATGATGTACCCTCTACTTACTCATGACCTCTTCTAAACATTCCACTCTTAGGTTGCCGAAAAAGCTTTGCCGTGTTTCTTTTCGAATTGGCTGACCGATAAGCCATAGCAATTTTCAAATTAAAATTGTTCCTCGTAAACGCCATTGTTTCATATCGAGTGGTGTTCCTTTTGTGAGCACTTCTTCTGCTCTATTCGCTCATTTGTTTTGTTTTTATGTTTGTTGGGAATTAGTTCGAATTTTAGGTGTTTAGGAATAAGGTGCTTTATCCACGAAAGTGACCGCATTTCTTTGAAAAATTATCCCTGAGAAGATGAGAAAATCAACCAGGCGTACATTCCTAACTTAGTCATGACTTGTTCTTTGAAATTCTACTAGTTTTTCAATGTCTCGGCTATAAAAAATTTCGACCTAGATCTCAGGTAATGGTGCTCGACCGTCGAGTTCTGGTTGAAAAACCAGGTCTGGAAATGGAACGACGCGACTTGTTGGGAAACCTAATAGTGTAATGTTTAGAAGAGGTCATGCATAAGTAGAGGGTACATCATTGATTGATTTCTCCCAAGGGAAGATAAAGTTAGAGATAGTTGTCGGTTTGGTCAATTTTTGTCGGCTGGACCTCCCATTTCGCAGGCCTAAAATTTGAAAACCTGGAACAGAGGTGGAAGAGGAACATAGCATTTTGTAGAGCAGACAATTCTCTTTCGAATGGTATATGACTCGATGTAAAAGCATGGGGATTTAGATGAAAATTTTTGGTTGAAAAAAAGCGACACTATTTATGAGACAACCTAATAAATAGTGATGGTGTGTGTTATGCTTATGAAGTGAATAAAACAAAGAAATAATAAAACATAAATAAAATCAAGCTGCAGCCAGCGTGTTGCAGAGATAATGGTCAAACTTAATATTATTTAATACTAGTGCTTTATTTACTAGAATAACGGAACTTGAAAGTGATCGGTCGTCTTGTTTCAGCTTCTTCGATTCAAAGCCGTTCTTGAAGCTAGTTCAATTGATGTTCCAGTAGAGGAAAGAGAACAATTTACAAAAGCACCCTTAAAAGGGTTCTTCAGCGCTTTTCTGTCAAACGAGGTATGTATTATAAATAAATCGTAAAACCTTCACAAAAAATACCAGGTTATCGCCTATCGGGAGGCTCACGATAAGTCGGAGGTTGAACAAGGAAAATGTGTCTATTCAAAGGAATGCGCGACTTTCAAGGGAGCAGAAGGTGGCGACTTCAAATGCAATGGCGCACACGCATCGGCTTACCATGACCTTACCCTTCGATCGGAACGCCTCGGCCCTCTGCCCGCCCCCCCCCCCACCGCTACCCCGCTGTTGCTTCCTCCCCATCAGACTCTATCCGTTTTAGCAGGGAGACGCAATAGTGTGTTCACGCTGAAGACCTCAACACCGAGAGATTCGCTCCGCGTGGAAATCAACGCAAATAAGGCTCTGCTGCACGGGTTTAAGGCATTTTGTTAAAGGACGAATTCACGATGAAAAAGCAACCCATTTCAAATTAACCTAGGGATGGTGAGTGGTACACGAAAGAAGGAAGAACCATGAGAAACGGCCCAGAACCCGAGAAAGGTCCATCGCGCCAAGATTGAGCCTTATTAGGTCGCCGAGGCCAACGACTTCGGTGCCAGTTGCGCTTCAGTCCGCCGGTCCCTCAACTAGGTGAATTGCTCCCTCTCCGACCTTCCTTCTAATCGTGAATTCATCCTTTAATTTTTCTACACTGTTCTTCTGAGTAACTCTACTTTCCTTCCCCACGAATGGCCAGATCGTCGTACCATCTGCTTTTGAAGGAAATCTTTAGATTTGGTTGAAAATTGCAATGCGACAGAATCACGCCACCGCACTTACAATAGGAGCCCGATGACATGCCTTTGCTGCGACCATTTGACAAACAGGCAGCGTCTCTTGCAAGTGAGATTCTTGGCAGCCACCTTCCAGCATGCAATTGAAAATTTCCAATTTAGAATGTTTCACAAGAATGCTGGGTTGTGAACAAAGCCTTCGTCCAAGCTGGACTAGAACCCGCACCTCTCGTCAGCACTCACAAGTATAACGTGTTGAGCTAATTAGCCGATATCGGCAATGACCGCGAGGAAGAAAGCTTCAGCAATTTAGACTTCCCAACATTTTGCACAAACCTCTCCATTTTTTTCCTCTCCATCTATCATACTGCAGGGACTGAATAAGGTGATGTCAATGTTCCGAGCGTTCGACAACGGAATATTCGCTGATAAAGCTGATCAGTTGGAAAAGATTCTACCCGAATTGACAGACTTCGACTGGATGGATAACCTAGCTGATGACCTCGGTTGGTCTCTTTGATTAAAAAATCGTTGCTTTGAATATTTTCACTACCAGTGGAGGTCTTCGAGGGTGTGGAGCGCTTTCCCAAAACAGATGTTCTTATGGTGTATGGGCTCTCACGTGAATTAGAAAATTGTGGGTTACTCTCGCTGAGCGGCCCTCCGAAGGCAAAAAAAGGATTGGAAATTTTGATTGTAATGGTTGTTTTCACAGCGATGAAGTGATGTATGGGATTTCAGCGAAGAGTTCACGATCTTGGTAATGTATGTTCACCTAGTGTTGGCGGTGACGCTATTGCAAGAGTTGGAACCTCCGACCCAAAATGCAAAAATCCTGGCACCACAGGGGAATTCAGCTTTTGACCATTTCTTCACAACTTTTTGGGCTCAAGGGCCGCTCACCGGAAATGGGCCTCGGTTTTGTAGTTCGCGTATGAGTTCCTATAAAAAAACGGTAAAACGTTCGAAGGGGCGCTTCACACCCTGAAAGATCTCTTTTGCGAGAGCGGAATGTTTAAGACGGAAAGCAAACTATTGCTATCACTGCTTTTTCCCACTATATAGCAATGAGGTATAAAAATGGAATGTTCAACAAAGTTGAGGGTGAAATTATTATAGAGTTATACATATACTTCAGGAATGGAACGGGTTCTTTGTCAAGGAGATTTCCAGCCGAACAATATTCTTTGGAAACAAAATGGTGACGAACTGGAATTGGCAGCTGTAGTAGATTATCAGGTATTATACTGATAAGTGATAGAAGGAGGAGCAATGTCGAGCGAAAAGTGTGATACTCAGTCATAGATCAAGTTTCGCTACAAAGAACAAACGTTCTGCAGTCGTTTATTTGGCAACAGATTCAAGGAAGAGGGAAAACTTGCAGATCGTTTTAGACGCAATATAATGTATAAGCTACAGGCACAACCCAGGCAAAGTCGTGTGAACGATTCCCTTCGGTCTGTAGTATAGACCCCTGAGGACAATCACAGATGTGGCATTCCCGTGCACGGAAATCACCCGACAAGAGCGCTAGGGCCTTGCAAAGTAAGCTGCAGCAGCTGCAATTTTTTTCTTTTATCAGGCTGTTGTCTGGCGCCCTCTCATCTGTTGCGCTCTCTCGCCTCATACTCTCCTCTCCGCGCTTAGTCTCTCATTCCCTTAGCACAGCCGATTACGAAGGTGAGTGAGCCCTTAACCTAAGCGTTTTTGACGAATTCTTTCTTTTTTACTGCCGGCCCACTTCACATCAATACATTCGTATTCATGTGCAAGTCACACCAATTTGACCATCTGGCATTTTCAATGGAAATATTAATTTGGTATGTAATTTTTTTCTTTATGCTGGCTAATAAGATTTTTTTCAAATTTTTGATTTTATGAATTTTGTTGCGAAGTTTTGATGTCATTTGAAAGGAGCTCTTGAGCTTTCTTATGGAACACTTACACATTTGCTTCACTACATATGGAGCCAAACCAAAACAATCGGTGGATAATTCCGGATAGAAATAGAATAAAATATGGCGCATCTGAAAAGGATATGCCTAATGCCAAGTGGTTTACTTTGGTCAAATTTTGAGAGCGAATGTTCAGTGAAAAAACCTAAGATACACTTACAATACACCACAAGTCTGTGTTTCACATGACAAAGAAGTCTGAGATCAACAAAAGGAATGCAGTCGGGTGGAAGTCATGGTCGGCATGATGATTTTGATTTAATGGGATTGATGAAGAGGGCACGGAATGCTATTTGCCCTCTAAATGGGATATTTCCAAAGTATAATGCCCATCATTCCGTCGAAAACTTTTTTCATTAATTTACCTAAAGAAAAAATCCCCAAATCGGAAATCCCCAAACGGTTGCGTATCGTTAATGATTCAGCGAACAACAGTAGCTCACCGCAATCATCGGAATAAATCTCTATTATAAATCTTTATCTTGTTATCTCTGTTTCAAATGTCTCATTTCATAGGCGGCCCACTTCGGTTGTTCAGCAACAGATATTGCTCACTTGCTCGCCTCATCTCTCAGTGGCAAAGATCGGCGAGAGCATTGGGAGGAGCTGCTAGGAGAGTTCTACGGTTATCTCATGGAGGAAGTAGGAAGCAAGAAAATGCCCTACAGTCTTGAACAGGTGCATACTACATTTAGATGTTGGTCGTTATGTATTATCACACTCTCTATAAGAACTTTCTCTTTATTTGGAACAACATGCTGTCGGGCAAATAACGGTGCGATTTACGTGGACGGTAAAGCGCGGCCCACATACGATCCCCACTAATAGTCGTGGGGGTTTGAAAGCATGTTTGTGTCACGCATGCTGAGTATGCCCAAAATAAGTAATACCAATACGCACGTCTATTTCTCTACAACCATCCTAGATGGGTCAGCCGTTGTATCTTTTTTCAGAGGAAGCGATTACGATATAGAGGGAGCGCATCGGGGAAGAATCACACTTTCAATTACTTGGCTGCCAAGGAAGCGAGGTGTGGCGCTTTCACGACGAAAGGTGCGCTGGTTGCTGAGCAGGACTTCGAAAGCACTCCGCCCACTAGTTTACTTGGTGATTTGGACGAGCTGCGTTGCCAGCAGCGGCACAACTGGAGCAACTCGATTGGAGCGTGGTTTGGCATGGTGCCACCAAACGCGTTGCGATGAACTCGTTCATACGTCCGCTTT